TTTAGGGTTTAGGGTTGCAGGGTTTGAGGCTTCGGGCTCATAGTGTTTGGAGGGATCTCGGTTGACCCTAACTCTATAAAGGCCTAAAATACGTCCGAAACCCCAAAACCTAGATCAGTACGTGGGAGTTTCCGAAAATCGGGTACCTTATTCTGCGGTCCTTATAATAAGGATCCTATTATTTAGGGCACTACATTAATATTCCCTATTTTCGGAAAACCCCACAGGAACCCTAAACCCTAAACCTTCAGTCAGGCCCTAAACCGGCCTGTCCAGGTCACTCTGATGTTCGGAAGCCTGAGGCCATGACCAGACATGCTTCCAGCACCGTGCTGCTGAGCCTTGCTGGATGTGCGATGGAAGTAGCTTCGTCTATTCATCACAGTAAGAATAGGGTTTAGGGTGTAGGTAACAAGAAGGAGAATGCCGATGATGATAGCCACACTGCTGCTGATACCAACAATACACCAGAAGCGATGCCAACCACGACAGGATGCTGAACATATTCAAACCCAACCTGAACCCTAAACCCTAAACCCTAACGCCACTCAACCCGTAAACCCCAAAACCAAGAGAACCCTAAAGGCGCAAAAAGCCACAACAGGTGCCCAAGATAACCCGATTTCTGGTGGCCACGGTCTGAACGGCCCTCTGAAAAAATCTAGATATCAGAGACACCTACGGATGTATACTATACGGGCTGGAAGCGGGCCGCATCACTTCTTAAATCGCACACCTGTGTTGCGGGCAAACTGTCACAAGAGCAGTCTTCTGACTCTTCTGACCTACACACAAACTTAAAACCCAAAGCATACGTGGGAGAACCCCCCAGAAGCAAGACAATTGTATTCATAGCAACGGTCGTAGCACGCCTAATGATGGTGATGATAATCATCATAATAACGAAGGCAACAGGAATCATAGTGCTACTAGTGATAATAATGGCAGTACTCCACACAGTACGACCAGCCATAGTGGCAGAAATCATAGCAGAATACAGACCTACACCCTAAACCCTCAACCCCTTCTGCGATTTCATGCGAGGCCACGGCCACGAGTTTGGGACGCCAGGGTGCTCGAGATTGCTGGCCTGCATTGCTGTTTTGGGCTCAAAGCTTACGATTGCTTTCACGGGCTTAGGCTTAGGTGTAGTGTAGGGGCCTAAATAATTACTGATACTATTTTGGGTGTTCCTTTGCATAATTGGAGTACAATGGGCCCCAAAACCCTATTCTAATTATTAAGGCCCTATATTAAGGCTTAGGGTATAAGCGTCGTAAGGGTACCCAGCCCCAAACCTCCTTGGGTTTGGTGGCATTGGAGATGTGTATGGACGCTTCTACAAACACCCACAGCCTAAACCCTAAACCCCAAACCCGAAACCCAAAGCGCTGAACCCAAACCCCTAAACCCCAAACCCTAAGCTTCCCTAAACCCTAAACCCCAAACCCTAAAGCCCCAAACCCTAAAGCCCCAAACCCCAAACCCAAAGCCCCAAACCCCAAACCCGAAGCCCCTGCTAGGCCCTAAACCCCCAAACCACAAACCCTGAATCCCAAACCCCAAGCACCACACCCCAAACCCTACACCCCAAGCCCCAAACCCTAAGCCCTAAACCTTAAGCCCCTAAGCCCCCCAACCCTCGGCCCCAAACCCCAAACCCTGAACCCCAAACCCTAAGCCCTGAACCCCAAACCCCTAAACCCTAAACCCCCAGCCTGCGCCATGCGAGGAAGATCGGCGGATTTGACCCGCTCGTATCTGCCCGGCCTGCCCTGGAGTGGCCGCCTCCGAAGAAGAAGACATCTCTACAGTGCAGGTGTTTTGGGGGTTTAGGGTATAGGGGTTTAGGGCTTAGGGGCTTTGGGGTTTAGGGGTTTAGGGTGTAGGGAGGGGCTTTGGGGTTTAGGGGTTTAGCGTTTAGGGGCTTTGGGGTTTAGGGGTTTAGGATTTAGGGCTTTGGGGTTTAGGGTTCAGGGGTTGAGGTTTCGGTTTTCGGCTCACGAACGTGCAGGTTCGAGATTGCTTCTGAGGTTAAGCTGGAACCCTAAACCCTAAACCCTAAACCCTAAACCCTAAACCCTTAACCCTAGCCGAATGGAGAGCAGATGCACGGGCAGTCACCCGAAGCAGTTTCTGGCAAACCACTGAAACAACCCAGTCCAACCCAGCCCACAAACAGGCATCCTTCACCACACGCACTGAAAGTTTAAGGTTCAGGCTTTAGGGCTTAGTGAAAAAGACTCTGAGACAGAAGGGTCTTACCAACTCGACTCGTGGCTGGACTTGACACAAGCTGTACTCCTTCTGCCCTCACTTGCCCATATATTACACGTATAAAGGGAAACCCTCAAAAAAACCCTTACACAAAGCCCATCTACTACCCTCACACGGTTGATGATATAAATCCTGCATTACCCATAATCAGGAATATGCCATAACTCCCGTAGTTTAGGGTCCT